TGGCACTGCCACTGGATGGGCTGTACCTGACAGGGACGGTGGCACTCCTGGTGACAGGCCTGTCCCCAGTGTCACTGTCCCTGGATGAGCTGTCCCTGACAAGGACAGTGGCACTCCTGGTGACAGGCCTGTCCCCAGTGTCACTGTCCCTGGGTGAGCTGTCCCTGACAGGGACAGTGGCACTCCTGGTGACAGGCCTGTCCCCAGGGCTGGCACTGCCTTGGGATGAGCTGTCCTTACTGGTGACAGTGGCACTGCCACCAGCTGGGCTGTCCCTGACAGGGATGGTGGCACTCCTGATGACTGTCCTGTCCCCAGTGTCACTGTCCCTGGCCGAGCTGTCCCTGACAGGGAGGGTGGCACTGCCTGTCCTGTCCCCAGGGCTGGCACTGGTGCTGGGTGAGCTGTCACTGACAGGGACGGTGGCACTGCCACTGGACAGGCTGGCCTTGGCGGGGACGGTGGCACTCCTGGTGACAGGCCTGTCCCCAGGGGTGGCACTGCCCAGGGATGAGCTGTCCTTACTGGGGACAGTGGCACTGCCACCGTCCAGCCTGTCCCCAGTGGTGGCACTGCCACTGGATGGGCTGTCCCTGACAGGGATGGTGGCACTCCTGGTGACAGGCCTGTCCCCAGCAGTGGCACTGCCACTGGCTGCATTGTCCTTGGCAGGGACAGTGGCAGTGCCACCAGCTGGGCTGTCCCTGGCGGGGATGGTGGCACTCCTGGTGACAGGCCTGTCCCCAGAGGTGGCACTGCCACTGGATGGGCTGTACCTGACAGGGACGGTGGCACTCCTGGTGACAGGCCTGTCCCCAGCGTCACTGTCCCTGGATGAGCTGTCCCTGGTGGGGACGGTGGCACTCCTGGTGACAGGCCTGTCCCCAGCAGTGGCACTGATCCTGGATGGACTGGCCTTGACAGGGACAGTGGCACTGCCACCAGCTGTGGGGACAGTGGCACTCCTGGTGACAGGCCTGTCCCCAGGGGTGGCACTGCCACTGGATGGGCTGTCCCTGACTGGGATGGTGACACTCCTGGTGACAGGCCTGTCCCCAGCAGTGGCACTGCCACTGGCTGCATTGTCCTTGACAGGGACAGTGGCACTGCCACCAGCTGTGGGGACAGTGGCACTCCTGGTGAC